ATGTATGTATAATGTAACATATTGAATATTAATTTTTTAAGTATATATTGAATAATGCAAGTATATATTGAATGTTTTACTTAAGTATTTCCTACGTAATCACTTTATTGTTAGATTAGTATCAATATCAGTATTATTTTTTTAGAAAAGTTATAAACTTATTCTTATCATGCCTCCACTTTATTTACTAATATTTTTTAAAACTGCTTTTCTTTTGAACAGTAAATACTGATTTATACTTGTTCTATCTATGAGACCTGTTAAATCGAAACGTCTTGGACCATAATTCCTCATTCTGCCAATATTTGAGTAATTATTATTGCTTAAGTGCTAATAACTCTTATAAATACAAAAAGATGTTTTTAGTGAGGCGTCTTGTTGTAGTATTTGTCTTTGCATTTATAATAACTGAAGTAAACAACAGTTAAGAAAATAAGTGCAAGACTGAGTAGACATTCTTATTCTTAACTTCTTAAGTCTTAAGTCATATTTATTTACTTTATGCACAAAAGCGTTCCGAATTCTTTTGGCGACCTGGTTTATGTCTTCTGCAGCCGCACATGTTTACACAGTAAATTAAATTATTTTGCTTCATTGTGCAAACAAAATTTATTTAATCTTTCTGCAGCAAAAGTAGTCAGAGGCGCCTTTTAGCCTGAAACTTACATAAAAGCCTGCAAAACGGTATTACATTCTTTGCTTTAGTAAATGAGACAGTATTTGTCACGTAAAAGTTTTTAATTTTTGTGGTTTACAAAATCTTTTTTTTCGCAGTTTACCAATACTTAATTTATCATCATTACCGGTCAATTAATTTTCTGCTGTTGATGTAGCCGTTGACTTCTGCCTGCTGTTGCGATTGTTAATGAATGCGAAGGTTTTACTTTCGTAAAATGTGAAAAATATTAAATAATTTAAATACTTTACGTTTTGCATACCGCATTTAAATTTATGAAGTTTTTTAAATAAACCGCGAAGGTCGTTACAAGCGCAAATTGTTGCAGGAAAAAGTTGTGGCAGCGCCAAAATGTCTTTGTACTCTTATTGCGAAGAAAACCCGTAGAGATGAAATCTTTGCGATACACAAGAATTCACACAAACATAACAAATTGCAAAAGCCAATGTGTTGAAATAAAAAAGAGAAAAAAAATGGGAACATAAAAGTATTGGCAACTTTTCTACGGCAGTTTGGCGTCTACAACGTCTATGTCCACGTCTATGACATGGCAAGAGATGTGTCTATCCGTATGCAGGCGTACTAAAAGCAAGAACTCTACAGTCTCAAAGAATTATTAAGCAATGCATGACAGCGAAACTCAGTTTGTCTACACGGAAATGCACACCTACACGAATACAAACAAATACTATACACAAGGCACGTACGCATTAGCAACCATAGAGAATAGAGTTCTGCAATGAACGAAATATGGAGTTTGGAGTCTGCAAAGAATTTGTTATTGGAGGTGGTCTGGAATGTGGCAGTAAAACAGGAAAAAATTGCAAAAAGGTGAAGAAGAAATAAACTTTTTTTTGTGGTTGATGCGATTATGAAATGTTGCAGACTTGCTCCGCTTGAAAGAGTGTCAAGTTGCAGTTGCAGGATTTCGGAAAAGTAGGAAAAATTATATTCATATTGTATGCAACGAAATGCAGTTGAATGCTGTAGCAATGTCCAGTGGATGGTTAATAGTTAATGGTTTGTCAATGAGTGGAAAATGAGGTATTGATGTAAGTTGGCTATGACATAATCAGCACTGTAGGAAAGCAGTGAGTAATTTATGACCAACGGAGAACGAAGTATTGAAGCATCGATTGCATAATAATGCAATAATAAAATATTAAAAACCTAGCAATGGCATAGAGTAAAAAATTCTAAGATTTTAATACGCAAAATGATTTGTACTTGTAGTTATAAATAATGCACAGCCATAACTCTTGTTTTTAAAGAATATTGAAGACATTTATTATTTTTATTTTTTTCTTTAAACAACAAAAAAAAAAATAACTCAAACTAGAAAATAGTTTCTGTTGTTGCAGCCTCTGTAGTTCTCCCGTTTCTATAGAGCCATGCTTAGTTTGGCACCGGTCTTGCGAACGGTGAGACTCCAAATTGACTTGTGAGTAGAACTTTGTCGTCGATGACTTGTGACGTTCTAATGTAAGCTTAACCGCAAATATAAAAAGACGTAGTTTTTAAATTTTGAATGAGTTATTTTCGTATTAAAAATTCACATCATTGTATATTGGATTTTCGCTCTGATAGTTTTTATTTAATGTACAAATTGCGCTATCATACATCTATAAATAGTAGTTAATAAGAAAACGTTTGGACTATTTAGTTCAATTAAGACAACGCCAAACTTCGTTATAGTGCACATTGTTTAACTGTTTGACTTTGATAAATCTTGCATTATCTATCTAGCAGATAGTACGTTATACATTTCTGCATCAAAAGATACTTTAAATAGTGCAGTATTTACTACTCTTCTTGCTATTTAACGAAACCCGTTCGAGCACAAACAAATGCCGCTTTTTGCAATCTGTAATTTATAATTTGTTGCTGTTAATTTTGACAGTTAGTTCGACAGCTGCAGTTTTAGGCATCATTAAACTTTGCCTCACACCTTATATATTCTCTCCTAACCTTTTATAAAAAGCCATTCTAATGAATGTTTGATGCATCTATCCGCGCCACGTACCACAGAAACAGAGATTTTATCACACAACGCGATAATGAATTTATTTTATTGTTAAATATCAGTCACCAGGTTTTTTTTTAATTTCAAAATTCCAACGAAGTGATTAATTAACAAAAATAAATTCACTTTATTGTTTAATTAACAACGAAAAATTGCAGTTATCTGTTTTAAATTAGAAAAGATTTAAGAGTGTATTGTATTTAATAAGTTGAATAATAAACGAAGTCTTATATCATCTGAAAAAAAAAAAAAAATAAATAAATAATTAATTCACAATTAAATTAATAGCCATCAACAAAAACGTTTAAGTAATTTCTCTATATCAATATGTCAGTATGTATCCCCTCAATAAACAATTTTTAATTATGACTTATAAAAATTATTTATTTTTTAATTTCTCATCATATAATTCTGTTTTGATTTCTTTCAGAAATATTACTTTTTCTTTTTTATTTTTATCTTTATCTTTTTTATATTTTCGAAATACTTAAGACAAGACTGTTTTTTTTAAGAATATAAGCTATTGACCCAAATTTTTCACTTCACTCGTTCTAGACAATTTTCGTATAAACTCATTTATTTTATACTGAAAGACAGTGCAATATATAAATTTTATAAGCGAATCAAAATAAATTTAAAATATATCAAAATTATTTTTTAAAAATTCGTTTAAATTAATTTTTTAGCATTTTTTTCTGGGACGCGTTGCTGTGATATGTGAAGTGTTGTTGTTGTGATGGAAATACTCATAATTTTTTTCGCAAATGCTTTTTTGTTTGCCAATTAAAATGCATTGAGCTGTTAAGAAATATGCAACCAAGCTCACTGTCATGTCACATCTATGAGCAGCAGCATCCATTTCAGTGCTAATTTATGACAAACGCGCTATAGCTTGGGTGGGCGCTTCTTTGTGATACCGCGACCGCAGTCGCTAAATATGCAATTAGATTGCACTCGGTTTAGTTGTCAATGTTGCCATGTTGCCCATTTGCCTTAATGGGTGCTTTAATTGTTGATAGTCTTTCTTCATTACAGTGGACACAACATCATATTCCTAGTATCACATCCCTAGCTATTCTGGCATACCATAGTTTAACGGTATCAATTTATTTAAATTTATATACGATTAAATTTGCATCTTTTGTGTTGGAATGCACATTGTGTCATTTTTTTGTAGTGAGTCTAAGTTGAAGGTCGGCTAGCGCTTGACGTATTTTACGTTCCGAAGGCGTTGCTAACGTTTTTATACTTTTAAATGATGCATTATGTGCAATGTGTGCAATATGTAAAATATATGAAATATGCTGCCACTTATCTTAGGGTGCTAAAATTGAGTATTTTTATATTAACGAATCTTTAATGATGTTAAAGCATTTTAATAGAAAGTATTTTATATTAATAACAAACGCAAACATAGTTAGTAAACGTTTGTGGTCTCGAAAACATATATATTTACTTGTAGTTACTGCAATAGTTCTACAAATGTATAAGTTATGATTATCAATGATCTATTAAGCCTTAACTGAACTATATTTCTAAACAAATTGAAGACGTATACTTCTTTCATTCGGAAACCGATAAACACAGTACGCTTCGTGATCAAATTGTATTAATTCTTGTGGAGTAGTTTTGTTGTTGGCTGTCACTTTAGTGACTTTGTTAGAATTAAGTTGTATGTAGCGATATCAACATATGTATAGAATATCTTCCAGCCGATATTAACTTAATTTTATTCTGTTAATTCTGTTTTTGCGA